TTAATACATTTAGTGTGCCTCTTGCAAAGAAGATGCTCATAATTTTTATTCAAATTGTATCACAAGTTCATGAAATAGTAAATAATTTGGTGAATCAACATGAAAAATCTGTAAACACTAAAAATTTGACCATAAAAAAAAAAGAAAAATCGACTTTATATACTAAAATTTATAAAAACGGTGATTATTGCGTGATACTTTGTATAATTAAACCTAATTTTTATAATAATATTTATAATAGAAACGTTTAAACATACAATTAAAATAAGAATACAAAATAAATTGCATTAACTTTGTTTATTATTTATTTAATGAATTGCATCGGCATTTATTACAAAGCGTGTTCCAATACACAATTTATAAACCTTATCTAAAATTATAGTTGTTTAATATTAAAGAGTGTTTAATATGAAAACATTAATTATTTGTTGACTAAAATGTTATTTAATGTAATATATTAAAAATGTCAATGTTTCAGTAGACTTAAATAATAGTATAAATGAAAAACAAAATAACAGATGTTAGATACTGGGGGAATGTATAAGGACATGAGTTTTAATAATGTTATTACCCAGTCTTTGAATTTGTGTATCAATTTATTTATTAACTACTGTATATTGATTTCTTATATTTAGGAAAATTTTGATTTTGAAAATAAAAAATATCAGAGAAATCTAATAAATAAAGGCTATGAATTTATTATTACATTGATATTTTTACTTATTTATAGTATAAAAATTTGACATTATTCAAAAATTATTATTACTTAATTATAATTTTATAATTTTATAGCTTTATAGTCTTACAGTCTTATACTCTTATAGTGTTATAGTTTTCTAATTTTCTAAAATTTTAATTTTATAATTTTGTGATCTTATCATTTTATAATCTTACTATCTTATAATTTTTATATTCTTATAATTTTATTATATTATATTATTGTATTCTTATATGTTTATAAAATTATATATGGTGATAAGTGAGCAAGTAACATGACAGGATCAAATTTTAAAAAAAAGAAATAACCAAAACTTAATTAAAAAATATAAATTTATCGAGTAATTAATAGATTATAAAAATTTATTAGAATAAAGTTTTCAATTTTTTTAGAAACATTAAACTTAATTAAGCCTTAAAATAATGTAAATTCATGTTTTAATTGTTTTTTAATAAAACTTTTAGATGTTTAACATGTTATTAATTTATATGATATACTGTTGTTTTTTTTTATGTTAATTTAGGTTTTCTTATGTTTAATTATATTTTTATTTTTAGTAACATTAATGAAAGACAACCGGTTAAAAATAATGAAAAATAGTACAATGGCGTTAAAATTATTTTATTATTTAATCAATTTTAAATTTTTTTATGTATGTCAAATAAATTATCAATTATAATTATATAACACTTATGAGTATTTTTGCTTTTTAAATAAAATAAAAATAAATTAATCATTATTAGGTTTTAATTCATTTAATGTCACACTTAATTTTAAATTTTTGTAAAATTCATTACTTATTAATTACTCTTAAACTTTTGTAAAATTCAATATTTATTAATTATTTTAAGATGTGTTTAACACTATTCTTATTTTTACTATTAGTAATCAGAGATTGATACTGAATTTAATAATATCATTAATGGTGGTTTGAATATTGCATCAATGTTTTTTATTATTAGGCATGTATTTATCATTTCCTAAAAGCAATACTACCTTAGTTTCTTTCTAAACATTATATTTTTTTAATTTTTTATTTTATTTATTTATCATTTACAAATTTCAATGTCTTTAATTACATTTTTTATATGTTATATACTTTTATGTGTATCAATATTTAAATTATATATATATTGTTAGATGAAAAAATACGATAATTTTAGTTTAATTAATAAAGCTTTTTGTTTTTGTTCATCTTATAAAAACAACATTAATTTTATGTTTTACTACATAATGAACGAGAATTATTTTTATTGGATTTGGACGGAATGTCATTGAAGTGAAATATGAAGCTGTTAGGCTGTGGTTAAACAAATTTTTATTCATAAATTAATTTGAACTTATTAAAAAATATTTTATTTTTATTTCTTATTTTCTTCAAAATTCAACAGACTTATCCATAGGACAGATTTGTATAGCAAGCCAATATGTTTATTGAGATATATGAATTACAATCGTTAAAATTTAAGAATCACTTTCAAAATGTGTGAAAACCAAACATATTATTAGTTTATTCCTTTCACTTGTTCTCTCTCGTATACTTTTTACTCTTTTAAGATTCGATTCTGGTGTATTTTGAATTTTTCTTTGTTTATATAGAGTTAGTTAATGTTATTTTAAAGTTTATAGCACGTTAAATCTGCATAAATTATATTTTTTAATAAAGAGTGTAATATATTATTTGACTTACTTTAGTTCCATAAATTAAACTGTCACCTGCAACGTAAATTTTAGAATATTTCATGTGACACCTGGTCAAAGTCAACAGGCGCATGCTTTGATGCGTCAATTTAAAAAGTCAACTGGGGTTTAATTGTAACCCATTACAGAGGTTATTAAATCAAAGATAAAGTACAAAGGATAATTGATTAAATAATTCGACGCATGATATCGAAATGTCAATACCCAAAGTATAATATCGTATCATAAAATTGAATGGGATTTTTCATCTGAAATAGGACGAGGATGACCTTGTGAAGAAGGGTTTTTGTCTATGGGAAACATTCTTTTGACTTCTTATTCTAGTAATCGATCAGTGTACAGGTAATTTTTCATAAGATATTTCGATGTTCAATTCAATTTTTTTTTTTAATTTAATAGTGAATAAAGAAAGCAAATTTACCTTAAAATTAAATCTTTATTTATAAAGTGTTGAAGAATACAATCAATTAATTTATTTCTTAACGGTCATTAATAAAAACCTTAACCACTCGTTAGTAACCATTGTAATATTAACTATGCATTGATTCTAATATTAATTACGCATTAACTATGCTCAACGGTTGTCGGAACCGAACAATCATTAGATACTTTCTGACACATCAACCACTCAGTTCTTTCTGTCCGGTTTGTCATCTTATCTTATCGGTCAGTTATAAGTCTATAGTAACATATTACATTTATATATATATATATATATATAAACAAACCCTTTAATTACCGTAATTAGAAAAGGTTACATTTTTAAACTTGGGAAATCGCTAGAGTTGATGAACCAAGGTTGAAAATGAGAGTTACAAACTCATGGAAACTTGCAACAGAATGCGTCTTCCAAAGTTTGAATCCAGAGAACTATTTATCATTGGAGGATGGTACAAGGAAAGAACAATAGCCGAGAAAAGTCTAAGAACAATATTTATCAAGAAGTGCTTTTCAGAATCTGACAGAGTACACAACACGACAACCCATGATATTCTGCACATAAAATTTCATAACACCAAGGACTATACTTAGGAATATTATTATATACCGAAATAAAAGACGAAATATTATTGGTTTATGCGATTTTCCATCTAGAATTAAGTGTACTGTGTTATCCTCATCTCAAAAATTACGTTTTCTCAATTTTTTTTTCTAACGGCGGTTTTAATTTTGGGCTCAAAATTGTCTGAAACGTGGTGTGTTTAGTAAGGAGATGGTTGTTTAACGTTAGGCCCATGTTGAGTAAACATTTAGCACTTGCATATTACTTTTTGCACCCTATCAAATTTAGAGAGTACTGCAGCATAAGATGGAGAAAATAAATAGTTGTACTCTGTACGGTAAAAGAGAAAACGATTGGATTTTACAATGAATCAAAAAGGAATCGAGCTATCTGGGAAAGTTCATTAGCAACGTGACATTCACAAAAAGAAAAGAGCACCACTGATTTGGGTGTTATGTTTCACATATTGTGTTTTTTTCTTCCTGAATTCTGACATTTTCCTCTGTGCTGTAATCATAGCTTTTACTTTTGTCCATTCACTAACTTTCCAGAATGTTGCCCTTGTTACGATAACGAAAATACATAACAACGTTTTTTAATTCAATCTTTTATCCTTTTTTGTTTTTTCCTCATTAAAAGGAACCAACGATAAATATTATTAAATGAAATAATTAAATTAAAAATACCGATAATATAAGCATGAACAACTCAAGGTGTTGGATATTCAAAGTAAACTTAACAATGAAGAATTTTGTTTATTTATCGTGTGCATTATTTTTACACACTTCTCCAATGTTTATTATTTATTTCATTAGAAATTTCATTTCTATTATCTATTAAAAACTAAATTTTAATTAAGCAAAAATGTCAGTTCGTCATCAAAATATATATGTAAAAAAATTCTTAAAGTTCATAAATAAAAGAGTACCGAAAATAAAATCAAACTAAGAAAACATACTTTTAATCTTAATATAAATTTAACAAATAGAATAAAAACAACACTAATATAAATAAAAAGACATATTAATGAAAAGTAAGGATAAAAATATCACCACATATAAATATCATGAAATTAAAAAAAATGTCAAAATTCTCAAAAAGAAATAAGTTTGTAATAGAAAAAAGAAAAAAGAGAGTTAAGATATTTTAATAAAAAAACAATTATTTAGTTAAGACTGCATTAAAAACGAAATATTTTAATAAAGTGTAATTACAATTACAACTTTCAAGCTGTCTTATAGGTAATATATGCATGGTTGGTCTCCGATGATAGAAATCGTGAAGTTTGACGGATTCAACTTATCCGACAACTTTGTATATATTTAGTTAATCTATACATATACACAAACGTTAACGCTTACGGCGACTAAATAGCGGTTTGGATTATCCACAGCCTCCCTTGCAGCAATCGGAAACTGTGTTCTGCATGCGGTCAAAAACACTGTCCTATAATACCCCACCACGTGGCCTTGTGTTATGCCTTTTCTGCATGTTACTCGTAATATAAATGGGTTCCTTCCCACGGAGGAGAATCAATACATATCATATCACCTTTGTTTCATTCCACAAGAACAAAAAATGGCTTTCAGGGCAGCGGTAAGTCGATTCCTTTTCCATCTTTTAGCAGATGTTTTAGCTAAACCCTATTGTTCTTGAAGGCAAAATACGTCAAGAATGCAAAAAATATATGTAACTGGTATGATATTAATTACATGCAGAAAAATTTTCCAATTACGTTGGTTGAATTGGGAAGTGGAAGGCGAGCATTTACCAGTCCGACGACTCCAAAAATGAAGCCGGTGTCCCGAGTGATGGATGCTGATCATCATAGCTCGAACTCTGGGTACGTGTGTAAAGTGAAAGAATCTATATATATATATATATATTAAAAGGTTTACTCTTTGTTCACTTGAATCAATTTGGAGAAATTGAATGTGTGAATTTGAGAGGATTTGAACGAAGAATTAGTGTAAGATTTTATTGATGTGACATATTAAAAAAAATTACTTCCAAATCCACTCTCACTTACCTCCAAATTCACTCAAATAAATAACAAAAAAATTTATCTTCAAATCCTCTTAAATTCGTTCAATCACTCTCTCCAAATCCATTTTAGTGAACAAAGTCTTAAAGAATAATTATGATGTATTATTTCATAATATTTATATAAATTAAAATAATGTCTAAATTATAGTTATGAGAATATTTTATATATAGAGAGAAATGGTACCAAGACAGACTTTTACATTTATTTAACACATAATAGAAAGATAAAATAGTCATAAAGGTGTAAAATTTTGTATTTTTTAAGAAAAAAGAGAAGGAAAAACAAGTAAGATGGTGTTAAATGAATGTAAAAAGTTTAGGTGTGTCAAATAATTATGTGTGTGTGTAAAGTGTTTGATATGAATATATTTTGTTATGGATGGTAGAATGAGTGTGAAGGCAGAGCTTGCACCAGTGTATATAGTGGGCGGAATGGTGTGTGTGGCTTTGGCGATTGCGTCGCACACTGGGTATCAACAACTGGTGCGGTCTCCACAAGTTCACGTGAACAAGAAAAGAAGAGAAACAGTACCTGAAGTCTCCGATCCTGATCGCACCATGAACTCCGCCGCCAAATTCATCGACGGTTCATTCTTAAGGAAAGTCTCTCACATTCAAGAAAACAAGGCCACACTCAACGATCCCATCCACCCTAATCCTTTCACTCGGTAAACCTAACTATATCTTTCTGCATTATATATTCATTCATCACTTACTTATTTTTTGCTTTCTTCCATGCAGTCCTCGAACTGTCGAGACATTGAAGACAGTCGGCGTTGAACCCGCCAGACGTTGATCATATATTACAACACGAGTAACGATGAGGTGATATATTTTTACATTTATTTGACACATAATATAAGAATAAAATGATTACGAAGAAATGAAATTTTATATTTTTTTTAGAAAAAAAATAAAAAATAAGAAAAAGTAATATGAAATGAATGTAAAAATTTAATGTGTGTTAAATATCATTTGTCTTACAATATTACAATAATGATTCTTTTACACATAAAATTTTTACATTCGTTCCATACTATCCTTTATTATTTTTTACTCTTTTCTTTCTTGAAAAAAAATACAAAAATACACTTTTTATGACTATTTTATCCTTGTCATGTGTGTCAAATGGTGTAAAGAGTGTCACTCTATAATTACTCTTTCTCTTAATTCTTAATATTATTTTCACACCCAACAAATTTTACACACTATTTTATCTTTCAATAACTTTCTTTTTGATAAATACAAAAAGAGTTAAATTTTTTTAATGATCAAAATATCTTAAAAGTGAGTTGCCAAATAATACATATTTGAAGGACAAAATTTATGAATTTAGATTTTTTGTTGAATTTTTCTGTATTATTAAACACTGATTATAATGTTTTAAAATATATTAATTATTTTTAATGTTCAGCAGAACAACTATAGAGACTAAAATTTGTTGGGTGTGAAAATAATACAATCCTTTATTTCCTTAATATGTGATTTTGCATAAGGTAATTGTAAATAAGGCAATGCCTGATATTGGGCCGTCTTCACTCTTAGGAGTACATAGCGGAGACTAAGAGTGTAAAATTGATACGGCGCCACTTTGTATCTTCTTTGTGTATTTGAATGTATATATATAAATATAAATAAATAATTTTTAAACTCTGGAAGCTCAACTGCAAGTTTTCTATGCGAATAATTAGTATGAAATATAAATAAATATAAAAAAATATGTTAATCAAAATATAATTTCTCTATGTTTGAAATACGTATGGTCATATACATGTACGAGAGAAGCTTCCTCCGCAAACGTAAACCAAGTCAAACAAAAGTACTAAAAATAAATAATAATAATAATAATTAGTTAAAGAAAAGTTAAAGCATAAACTGAATTTGGGTCTGTGGAGAGAGGCATAAAAAAATGTGATGGATTATGTATGTTTCTCTCCACCACAAAGACATTATCTTATCAGAATGTTGTCTGTCAGGAACCATATGTGAAATTTTTAAGAAAACACTTTCAGTCTTTATTGGGGACATAAACGATCCACACGTTAAGAAGTAAAGAATCAGACAAACAACCCCATTTCATAATATATTTGTCAGCTGTGTTTTTTTTTTTTTTATATAAGAAAATGTATTTAAAATGGGAAAGACTAAAAAGTGTGTGTTGGTTTTAAGAGGGTAAAAAGAAACCAAGGTTCCGCTGAATATGGTTGGTTTGTCAGGTGAGTTAAGGCATCTAAAAAGACCAACACCACATCATTCTTAGTTTAATGTTACTGCCATTCTTTCTTTCATCTTTATTATGTGCATTTCTCTCTTTTATTAATACCTTGTCTTTCGTATTCATGGTGGCGGGATCGATCACGTGATCTTGTGCTTATAGCATATATGTGACTTACATGGACCACCCAAACACGACCTCTAAATTTGGGAGCAGAAGGATAAGGTAGACTCATATGTGAAGCATGAACATCTTCATTTTTCATCACTGCCTCACATAAATGCACATTCTATCATTATCATCACACCACCAAACCATATACCCTACACCTCTCATCCAACCATGTAACTTTCTTAATACCACTTTTTTTTCTCTCACATTTATAACTAACATACTCAAAGAAAGTATAAACATCTTCTTTCGATTCTGAGTCCTTTAAGGTAGTATCACTGTAATTGAGATAGTATTCGTTTTGAATTCAAAGTTTTATTAAAATTTTATATTGTTTTGGTTTACGAGGTCGATCTCTACACTTTAAATTTAAGTCTCAATTTTTCTTTTATTTCATATTAGTTGTCGTTCGGTCGAATTTGGATGTTATCTGTAAAAATCACTCCAATACTAGAGTCAGCGTGTGTTTGATATATTGACAGTAAATGTGTAATAAATGTAATTAACTACAAGAATATCACAAACCTATATTTGTAGATTTTGAGATGAGTTTCTAATAGTGTTGGTCTATGGCCCAAATGATAATAGTCTAACTTAGGGTTAATGTAATTATTCTTAACACTAACTTGACTTTTAGTCCGATCTATGTGACAGACTCATATGGAATTATAGACTAGTTGATCATTCGATTCTTTAACTGATAAATAAATATATTATACAATATTTAAAAGATATTTTATAAAAAAAATATATTTAAATTTTTAAATATTAACTTTTAAATAATATAAAACTATTAAATATACCGAAACATGATGACTCATACTATACCTACTTTTGTATCTTTTTCTTTTAATGAAAGAAGAAGAAAAAAAAGCATGTCTTCGAGAGGTTAATTAAAAAACATTTTCTTTCAAAGTATAAAGATTGCCCAAGTATATTTTACGTGTCTCACTTGCTCACTTTTCATTAAAATAATTACGTGCTTGAAATACTGAATTATATTTGGAAGTGTCAAACTAATAATTAGAGTTATTAGGAATCGTGTTTATAATTGTGTAATAATTCTGAAGACCAAATAAGTTATTAATATATAGTTTTATAGTAAAAACTTATAATTTAGTGATGCCTTTTAAGATGATTTCTTTTAATATAAAATATTGAATAACATAGAAAGGTTATGCAACTCACGTAATGTAGTCCATCCTCGAGTATATTTTTATGATTAAGATATTTTCTTAGAACTTTATAATTAAAAAATTAGGAAGTAAAAATAGGAAAAGATCTTAGCCCTACTTCAGGATGTTGAATTTAATTACCAAATTCAAAATAAAAACACATTGAACAAATCAGAAAGATGTTATATTTGTTTTTTAAGATTGTATTTGCTATGTAATATATTCTTTATAAATGATAAAAAAAAACATTTTTAGACTGTCTAAGTGAAATTGAACTCAAATTTATCAGTCAAAGTTCCGTTTGCAAGTTTTGAAAGTAAAAAAAGTTATTAAAACGATTTTTTTATATTAATATTTTTCTAGTAGTTATAACTCACTCTAACTATTTTTAATGTTTATTTAATCAAAATAAGTGTGTGGACCTAAAAATCTAAATATTTAATTATGAACTTTTTTTCACCGGAAAGAAAATACTGAATATTTAATAACATTAAATATATTTGACGTTATATGATGACATGCACACGACAACGGAATTCCATTGGTCAAAGTTTGATCGGAACGGTCCAACGAACGGAGAACAGCGTCTTAGGTTAGTTGTCATCTAAATGAACGGTGGATTCTAAATTCCATGCGTGGAAGTGCGTGTTATGGGGTTGCGTACTCCACACTTCAGAAGGTACGTACGTCATTGACTTTCAACTTTCCAAGATTCAGGTATGCATGATCAGCGTAGCATGTACGCGAGTGTTCACCACTTTCCATGTGCCGCACCCACACCAGAACACTCCCTTTTCAAATTCCCAGCGCGCTAAAACGCAATGCCTTAATTAAATGCCTTCATATTCGTGTGAGTGTGAGAGTGTCATCTTATCTGATACAGAATAGACGCTGCTTATTTTGTCGTCATTAATTTAACGGCTACGGTTAGGTCTGATATTCAATCCCTCTTATTCCGTTAAAAAAACACTGTCAAAAAGAATTTATATTGTTTTAATGTGCGAAAAAAATATATTTAATTATTACTATAATTTTCAGAAACTCAAAACGGTAACAAATATTTATTGAGTAATTGTACCATGTCTGCCCTAGTTGGTCACCTTCATTAAACATTTTTACACAATTGAATTAAATAGTCAATCATGAATTTTCATGAGGCTGAAACGTTTCTTAATTGAATGGTTTCTCAGATAGCTTGAAAATTAAATGTCGGGTTTCGCGTATAAATACGTTGGACACGTAAATATATTATGAACGTCTTACGATGTTTTTGGCATGATGAAAAAAATAGTAGTAAGAAAATAAAAAAAAGATTTTTATTCTGTGTTGAAATGGAAACAAAACATCATCACTGTAATTTCCTCTTTTTTTCAGAAACTTTTTGTTTATAGAATGAGTTGGGAGCAGTTACAAGATTATGGCAGACGGAAATTAACAGGGTTGAAGGCATTCGATTATGGAAGATCTACAACATCTGCAACATAATACAGCAGTTATTATTTGAATGAATGAAAAGAAAAGGAGAGAGGGTAGAAAGAAACAAGGAGAAAATCCAGATAGAGGATGTGGGTGGTTAACTGTATATGTGTTGCTTTAGCGACAAAATAGAAAAGAAGGAAGCAAAAGAGAAGAAAGAAAGAAAAGAATAGAAAGGAAAGAGAGAGATAGAGGAAGGGACAGCTGTGGAAGGAGGGGTTGTGGTCCCCACCACAAAATCTTTCTTCTCCCGCCTTCCCGCTTCTTGAATCATCCTCATCTTCTTCTTGTTCTTGTTTCCTTATCACACCCCACTTATTTGGAGAAACTGATGTTCTGGTGCTGCCATTCTTGATATGGACACCCCAGAGAGGAACCAGATCAGTGCTACCCTCTCAAAGTTTGAGGTTTGCTTCTTCTTTCATTCTCTAAACCTTCTCTAAACCTTCACCACTTCAATTTCATGTTCTCTGTCTTGTCAAACACTTCCTTTCTCTACTTTTTTTCTGCATGCCACTCATTCTGCACTTTCTTTCTTCTCAATTTTCGCTTCCACTCTTTTCTTTTGCTTCAAACGTTTCTCCATCTAACCTAAATGTCTTATCTTTCTGATTTTGTTCAAGTCATAGTGTCAAAGTTTCTCTCTTTGGAACGAATTGTTTCATTTCTCTAGATCTTTCTTCAACTTCATTTTAGAGGTCATTTTTACAGTTTTTTTGTTTTTGTGGGAGTGCTCTACTATTCTTTTTCTCTCTTCTT